GTTTCTGCTCTTTGCGGTTTCGCGTATCCGCCTACAACATAACTATTCGAGGCCGAAATATCAAGTAATCTTTAAAAAATTGCCAATGGCCATCTGCGAGTGCGGCAACCTGTTGATCGAGTAAATCACCACCAACTTGGTTTGGTTATAATATAGTATAAGATCTGGTTTCTTCGTAGTTTCATCAACATTTGGTGTACGGTACATGCTTCAGATGGTGATGACTGCTGTATTATTATTTGGGACATACGATGAAAGAGTTATATCACTGGTAAATCCAAAAACAGTTGAATTTACGCTCCTTTGACGTGAAGGCAAAAATTCGTTGGGAATTTCTCTATGATTTTTTCTCATTGTACCCACAAGTGTCAACTGCTTCTTTTTTAACAACTGTATGAGCTCCAGAGAAGTGAACCAGTTGTCAGCAGTAACATTTCGGCTGGAACCCTAAATGGGAGAAATGAGGCGCATCACGGCCAGAGTAGGTTTTCTTAGACGCTGAAATTCAATTGGAAAATTTAGGCCATCCGAATCTTCTCCTAAGTAAATATACGCATTCCAGGCGGCGATGAAATTGCTCAAGTAAACGTAAACAAAGCCGAATGGGAGGATAAAATAAACAGTAAAATAGTAAATTTTCTCAATAATCAATTTTGCGACAGGAAACGTGGTTTTATAGTGTTAAATTGCAAAATATATGATTTATAAAAAGAATTCATAGCAAAAATGTTAAAAAAGGCGATTTTTATGAAAATATTAGCAAATTTAGGTGCATCTAAAGTTTCTGCGCGTTGTTTACTTTTACTTGAGAATTGTCAAAATCGGTAAATTTCAAGTAGCGGTTTCTGGAACGTGCAACATTTGTTCGCTACATCGTGATGTAATAAAAGGAAAAGCTGGCAGCACTCCGCAAGGTTGCAGAAATCTCTTAAAATATGTTCGAAAAATATCTTGATATGGAAAAGCACTGAAAAAAGTGCCAAAACTTCAAACTTCAATCTTTCATTTTATTACACTAAAATAAAAATTTTTTTAGTCTTATTAAAAAGTTTGCAATTTAGGTGACACCTTGCAGTTTTTCTTAAGTTTTGTACAAAGTTTGATCTAAAGCCTGAGATCTACCACATTTTTATTTAAATCTACCACATTTTTTCCAGATTCTACCACACAGATTTTTTTCAAGTGCGATCACTGTGCACAACTGCCGATTAGAGCTGCAAATATATCGATGTCAGTATCGATATATCGAGTAATTGTTTTTTTTTTTTTGCAGACATCGATATTTTTTTCCGATTTCAAGTATGGCTTAGCCATATTCTCATTACTTATTTTTGCGCCAAACAACATCGGTGACTGATTTAATAGACTACAAATCTGCATATAAATTTTTTTAATAGAAATTGTCATTAAAAAGTTCGCAATTTTTAAGAAATATTTTTGATTGTTTTTCTAATTTTTGCACAAATTTTGCAATTTAGGTGTATATGGCTTTTGTTAGAGATTGAGCTATACTTTTATAAAAAAGTAACGAAAAGAATATAGAATGAAAAATCATTGCGAATACTGTGATAATATCACTGTGTGATTTTGAGTGTGGGTCACTGTTCATACATACATATCTTTGTTCGTATGGAAAAGTAGCTTATGTCGAATGACTGGCTTTAGAATAATGCGGAATTCCACTTATTCTTTAAACCAGAAGAAATTTTTCGATGAGACTTAATAAGAATATTGACATGTTAGTATGGGAACTATTTCTTGCACGTTTATTTGCCAAACGTTGTTCAACGGCTCAGTGCCTGCGAGTCATTCGCAATCGTATGCTGCGAATGCCGATTTATACTAAACCCAGCCCTTCGACATAAGCTACTTTTCCATACGAACACAGATATGTACCTCATATATGTAATAAAATTTTCTGTTGGTAAATGGTTCTATTCATTTTTTGAATGAGTAGTTTTTCAGTGTATAACTAAAAATTAACGATATATATCGAGTTTTTGTCTCTTAAATATCGAAAATATCGAGTACGGCGAATATCGATACTTTTGCAGCTCTACTGCCGATGAAAAAACGCTGGGCATTGATGAAAGAGTTAAAGAGCTCGGAAATGGGTGCAGCGAATCGTTCTCTCTGCGAACTTTTCTTGTCCCTGCATCATCAAAACGAAGAGTTTTTATTAAGACTTCGATTCTATTTTCGATCATAATGCAACGGTAAATTTCGCTTCCGGTACCGTCACTACTATACTATGACGTGTAGTGTTCATGGTTCTCTTTGAAATTAACAGTACAAAATAGGAGCCTTATAAAAGCTTTGAGTTTTATAAGATCCAAATCTTGAACACTTCTGTCTGATTTTCTAGAGTTGCCGGGTAGTAAACCCTTTTGCCATCGAAATTTCGTTCTACTGCAAGAATCCATTACTCAATTTTAAGACTTTTCAGAACTTTTGTGCAAAATTTTCGACTTTCTGTTTGATTTTCTAGAGTCGGCGGATAGTAAAACCCTTTGCCATCGAAATTTCTTACAACTACAAGTATCCATGACTCACTTTCAAAACTTTTCAGAACCTTTGTGCAAAATGTTCGAATTTCTGTTTAATTTTCTAGAGCTGGCGGGTCGTAAAACCTTTTTTCATCCAAATTTCATTCAACTACATGGATTCATGACTCACTTTCAAGACTTTTCAGAACTTTTGTGCACAATTTTAGAGTTTCTGTTTGATATTCTAGATTCCATCGAAATTTCTTAAAACTAGAAGTATCCACGACTCTCAAGACTTTTCAGAACTTTTGTGCAATATTTTCGACTTTTTTTATTAAGTTCGAATCTATTTTTGCTCATAATGCAACGGTAAATTTCTCTTCCCGTACCGTCACTGCTATACCATGACGTGTAGTGTTCACGATTCTCTTTGAAAACAGCAGTATAAAATAGGAACTCTATAAAAGCTTTGAGTTCTATAAGATCCGAATCTTGAACACAGGTTTCTTTTTTGTAATTTGGTCGAATTTCCTGAATTTTTTATTAATATGTATGCATGACAATTTTATTCAGTATTGCGTCTGTAAAAAATTTCTGTCCAATTTCCAATGCATTAGGTGAGGAATTTAGTTCATTCTGATATTCTGGCTTTATACCCTCTCTTTCTTGCACTATATTATGAGACAAAGTTCTCGACCGTAGGGTCGGCGGGACAGTAGACCAACGAAAGTGATTCTTACCGAAATAATTCCTCTTCCTAAAATTCGATCTCAATTCTGATAATGGTAAGTCGTCTTCCAATGAAGTTTGTCTACCTTCAGGTAAAACTGGAGACTGATGTGGCATATTCCAATTTTCATGTTCAGACAGCTCTTCATCACCCTAGATTTCAGAATCGGATTCACAGCCTTCCTCCGGCATTTGCTGTGGTCCAAAATCTGACTCAACATCACCGCATTCATCATCATCACGGATTTGGCAAATATTCTACATCTGAAAATTCTTCTTCTTCTTCTTGGAATTCACCTTTCGATAAGCGCGTAATTAAAAGCCATTTTTCGCTAAAAGAATAAAAATCACTACTCACTAAAAAAAAAATCACATAACCGAATACCACCCGTGTCAGGGACGGTCAATGGTAGTTTTTTACTTACCAATTACAAACGCACGCACGTGTGATGTTGTCGAGCAGGTACGCGGTACTTAATTATGCAGGAAAGGTACATGGTAGAACACGTTTGTACAATACACACCCGCTAATATATTTACGACTTTAAATTTGAATGTGTCTGTGAGACAGGGGTTAAGGGTTAACATACAAAATTTCAGTATTACCAAAACGTGTGGTAAAGCTAAAGCAATAATTTGTTACTTGATGAGGTGTGGTAAGGTTAGATTAAGGTGGTTGCCCCAAACAGGGGCACATTTCGACCATCTCTTTTCTCGATGAGACCAACTTGAGGGTGCCTTTCCTGGCCAACTCATACACAGCGCAATTGCCGGCGATATCACCTTGTCCAGGTATACATATGTATACATAACTCTGGTAAGGAAAACTTTAGAGGCAATTGAAAGAGAGGTTAGCCATTCCTCTACTAGCTTTGAGCGCACAGTATATGACTAGATGTTTACTACAATCGACTACTTCCTCAATGGAAACCTAAACTTTAGATTGACGAAGAGCTCACTGCACAAAACATTGGCCTAACGATCCTTCCGTTAATTCTCATCCTTCCTGGTAGAAGTTTATCAGTGCTTCCTAATAGCGACTGCTCCATCTCCTCCATTCCAAGAGAAGAAATGACCCGTGAACGAGGTCATTAGTGATAGCTTAGGCATGCAGTGAACGGTGTTATCAGGCATAAAGTCGAAGCCCTAGAGAGGTTTCTTTATGTTGAAAATTTGAGGTAATACACTTTTGGAGAACATGTGCGGCATATTTGTACTTCTGCATCGCACTATGTACATGAATGCTGAGTCTGAGGGCTGGTTTCTCCAACTCAACTTAATTAGTTTAGCCATTTTTTGGACTTAAGCCAAAAGTTAGACTACCTTTTATTCAGCTTATTCTTTACTAAGTCCAAAAAATTGGCTAAACTAAGTTAAGTTGAGTTGGAGAAACCAGCCCTGAAACTTTTGAGCGGGGGTATCTTTTTTGATGCGGATGGATCTGAATATGTGAATGTATGTATGTATACATACATATCAGAAGTGTAGATTATTTTAATGTGATCTGGAATCTCGAAATCATGACATTTACTTGTATATTTCTTTTTTATTTCATATCTGATACTTTATCTCATTTAATATCCATTTTCATAGTTAGCATTTTATGAAAAGTAAAAGAAAAAGGCTAAAAGACTTTTAAGAAGAAACAAGAATCTAAACAAGAATTTTCCGGCTAAGCCTAAATAGAAGATAAATCGAACTGGAAAGACTGCAACACTGAAAATATGCTAAAAACTAAAGAACTCGATCATTTACGTTTGTACATATTTGCATTTATTGTTTTAGGCCTGCGCAAGCTGTCAAGGTGTTGATCGCTTTGGCCGTGTACTGCACATTCGGTCTACAGTTCTATGTATGTCTTGAAATTGTCTGGGATGGTATCAAAGATAAATGCACGAAGCGACCAGTATTTGTAAATTATGTGTTAAGGTGTGTTTTGAATAACTAAGTTTGGTTATTATATTGAAACAAATTTAAAATAGCATATGACCTTGAGCTACATCTTTATATTCAATTACAGAACCGTACTCGTCACTGCCGCCGTTGTGTTGGCCGTTTCAGTGCCAACCATCGCTCCATTCATGGGACTAATTGGTGCCTTCTGCTTTTCCATACTTGGACTTATATTCCCTGTAAGTATATTTTAACCTTTTTAGCAAGCGATTGCTTTATCATTAAAAATTATAATGGGAGATATTCACATGAATTATATAAATATCCATTTCAGGTGCTGATCGAGCTAATCACCCATTGGGACACCGGCTTCGGCCCATTTAACTGGATCCTCTGGAAGAATGTCGTCATTGGATTTTGCGGTATTGCAGCACTCATTTTTGGATCTATGAGTGCTATAAATGACATTGTGAAAATGTATACATCAAGCCCTACGGCAGGCGAAAGCAGCACATAGAAGCTACAGCATTATTACTGGCTCAATAGCACCGAAAATCAGAGAGCGCTTTGATATATGAAGTCGCACCGCAACCCACTATGTCGCTACACCGTTGGATAATTTCATTGGATTTTAATTTTAGTACTAAGTAAAAGTACATAATTGATATAACTGTCTCTAGTATCTCTATACACATACATACATACAACGTGTTCTGTAAATATACGTGTATGTATGTATGTACATATATGAATAGTCTAGGCTGAAAAATTAGGGGAAAATATTTTTTAGATATACTAATAGCGAAACCGTGTATTAAAAAAGTGCCTCTTTGTAAAATGTAAATTTTTATTAAGTTTAAAACAGAAATGTATATCACTCAAACAACTTTTGCTTTAATAGATAATATGTGCATTCATAACGGTATTAAGTACCAAATATTCTCGTTGTGATTGCGCTTTGTATATACATATGTAAATGTAGCTAACATTTCCAATTGTTGATTGAAAGTTTTAGAGAAACTGCTGATTTTAGAGCGTATCATTTTAGGTTGCTGATGGCTCATTCAACATAGTTGTGTACATATTTATATATAAATGAATCCATGTAAAATGTAGGCCCTTATTCATTAGCTTTTAATGTTTTAAAGTTTTTTTAGTAATACTAAATAAGTAGTACTTCAAAATATTGTATTTTTACATTTTTCGCTTTTGGAAAAATTCACTACATACTTATGTAGTATTTGACATCAGTAGGCCATCCATTTTTAATTACTCAAAATCGATTTATGTAATTAAAAGTTTATTGTATGAAGAATAATTATGAAAATCAAGTAAAGAGGTTCTAAATATTAAATACAGTATATTACTTTAGGTTTTATGGGCTTAGAAAATAACAGACTTTCAAAATATTTCTTCATTATGCAGCTTAAATTGGGATGAAAAAATATCAACGTGCCCATAAAAACGTTGGCGCATAATTTTTATGACTATGGTTGCATTTAAACAAATACTCGCGAATACATTAATAGTCAATGAAGGGAATCTTTACTTAGCATTATATTTACATGGTCAATTTGCAGACATGGATACCAGACCCTCCATTTGTCTCCGGTAATAAATACTTATGTATGTATGTACATATAACATGCATGTGTTTGTACATAATCACATGTTATGTGGTTATATAAATCCAACCGAATTCAAAAATAAAGAATTATACTATTTTTGATGCGTTTTTAATAAACCTTTACCAAGAAGTTACTAAAAGGTTGTTTAAATTTAAGACTAACTCGTTTATAAAAGCAGTTTAATTACGGAACACAAATGAAGAAATCTCCGGTTTTTCCAGGCAAGGCATTTTAGTCTTACTGACAATGCACCTTACTGCAATTCACCTATGATGGCTTTCAAAAACCTGCTGTTAAGTAGAATTAGAAAAGGTAAATCAGGTTAGGTAGAACTGGCTGGGCTAGTAAAAGCCTCACATAGGCAGATTTTTTTGTCCATATGTTACCAGAAAAAGCGACCATTCCCACGACAGCCGATTCTACGTATCGGAATGACTCAGGTTTTACCCGACCAAGGGCTATTTTAAACCTAATTTGAATGTATTTCACATGGTGGAATATTAACAAGGTGTTGTCAGTAGCGACGTGTTTGTTGTGATTTTGACAAGATCGGCATGCTTATTTTCAGTGCTGCCGATCTTAATTTTTATACTACTATTCGTTGGGAAATAGTATCTAAAATACTCCATTTTAATAATTCGTTTTATCGTGATTTTTAAAGAACTTGGTGTTTTCAGAACAATACTAATATTTAAAATTGCTGGGTTATATAACTTTTGTCCTCAAAAAGTAGAAAAATAAAAGATATCGTGGTTATCAATGAAAAAAAACGTACACAAAAATCGTATGGAAAGGCGATTTTTTATATTAAATAACTTATGCTGCATTGTCATAATATTGAGCCAAATGAACTACTGATACACTAGAATAGAGTGGCTGCATGGTTAAATTAGGAACTCGCTTATATTATCGATATTTATGTGTTTTAATCTATTTAGAAAATCATTTACAGTCTTATAGGAAATTGTCTCATTTTACTTTTTTAAAGTTACAATATATATGCAAGCTGTGTGGAGCAATACAAACATATATTCAAGTTTATAAGCCATTATACATTATACATTTTTCTACATTTAATTTGAAATAGTATGCACCAACGCACAGTGGCCAATTTTTCGAAAAAGCTGGCCAAAAGTCGAAGCGTGATACAATTGTAATCAAACCTTGTGTATTCGTCTTTATTTTGGTTGCTGGTTTTAAATTTCACCACATAATTTCGAAATTCAAAATGGCGGATCCATAATGGCTGCTGTGTTCGCTTAAAATAATCAGATTTTTAGCAAAACTAAGGTAGTTAAGTAAAAAAGGTCAAGTTTTTTGTAATAAAGTCGCCTTTTGTAAGGCAATGGCAAACCCCCAGGTGTATTCAGCCACGAAGAACAGCTTCTCATAAAAATAAAATCCCCGTTCGGATTTGGCGAAAAACTGTTGGTCCCGCTTTGTGCGCCAACATCAAGGCGCAATCCACAAGTCGGAAGAGAAGCTCGGACAAACACTAACGAGGTCTTAATGTTTGTTTCTAAAAATCTTGATGTTCAATTTACACGGGAACTGCGGGATTTTGAATGAATCAATAAACAAGACATACATATTTGTTGGTACAGGAATATATTTTTAAGATAACAATTTTATACACCGTCAGACTCGCAGACATCTCAAGTATTCAAGCTCATGGGCGTAGCCAGGTAGGGGCAGGGTGCTCGACCTCCCCCCCTAACTTTCAAATATTCCTTATATATATAACCCTGAAATGCCAGCTTAATAAGGTCGAGCCCTCTCCTCCCACCTCAATTTCATTCTGGCTACGCGGATGTCCAAGCTCGTATCCATATCCAATTCCGCATCCGCATTTTACAACAGTTGATAGTAATTTAATGGCATCTGACGACAGTTTATGATTTTGTTTTGGTGGGTTTAAACGTAAACTTGAAATGACAGGGGCCGAGGATACAAGCAGCCGATATTGTTTAATGTCCTTATTCCTTGACTCTTGGGTTTCTTCGGAAAGTTACCCAATTGGCAGGGGTGCCCATTCAATAATAAGAGGCCCATAGATGAGCACTCTAATATATAGTACTACTAGTAAAACATCCAATCTTTAAAACATCAAAATCTTGACAGAAATATTTTTTTCATAATTTAAATCTTTTAAACAAAAAAATTAAGAATCGCGTATAAAAACTGATGTCCAAACTACAGTGGCGGCTTGTGGCAGGTGGTTTTAACCAAGGTGGATGGGAAAAACTTCAATATATATGAAAAAGAAAATTAGACCGCCCATCTCTACCACTCTCGTAACTATTTTCCTAGTCCATCACAATGAGTCAGGGTTCGTATTTGCACACACATGTGCAGCACATCCTAACATTTTAAGCTCACACACGTGTGCTGTGCATATAAAAAATTAAAAATTTGCTCACATTACATGTGTGTGCCGTTTGGTAAAAAGCACGGGCACATGTGTGTACTTTCTTTTTATTAATGTAAAGCACACGCACATGTGTGTGCTATGCGTAGAGAAACTTATACACTTCGAATTCTAACTCAAATCTTAAAATAATTTTTTTATATGTTTTCTGTCATATAAAAAACAAACAACATCTCACTTTTTATTGAGTTGTCTTTCAAAAAATAACGTTTAATAAACAAATTCTTTTAAGAATATATTATGTGCATGTGCATGGGCTGAAATTTGTACAAAAATGGGCTCACACACATGTGCATGTGCTTAATAACAAACAGCACACACTTTTCTGTGAGTAGAGTTTGTTTTCCACTTATGAACACACATGTGTATGAGCAGTGACCCCGCAAACATATTCTGAGCGTTCAGAATATATGAGTCCGAAAGGAGTCCTAGGTGGGTAAGAAATATGAGTTTCAAAAACAAAAAATTGTTTACTCTTATATGAATCTTTTAGGATTCATATATGATCCAAGTTATCAGCCAGCACCTTGTGCGAATATAAAAACAATAAAGATTTGAAATTTATATCTAAAGTTGTTCATACAGAAATTGAAAATAATTAGAAAACAAAAAATGAACAAAATTTAGCTGCAGCTGCTGCTATTGAATGCATGTTGGAATGTGTATATGCACGTAAGTATGTATGTATGTTATTTGAAAGGTATTTTTGCTGAATGCCTTTGGAAATATAGTGAGTTAAGACTCAAAGAATAACGTAAAATAAGAGTCCGATTGTAGTAATTTATGAGGCCGGTAAGTCTTAAAAAGAGTCTGAAATGATTCCTATATGAGGCCAAAAATTGTTTTAAAAGAGTCCAAAATGAGCCGTATATGAGGCCAATAAGAATCCAATATGGCTCATATTGAGGCTCATTTGATATATGAATTTAAGCTCCTATAAGTCGACATTCGGAGGAAGGGATACACCCTCATATCGGACTCTTAAATGAGCTCATTATGAGCGTAATGGCTCCGAAATAGGACTCCTTAAAGACTCATTTATGACTCCAAATGTTTGCTGGGGAGTGCAAGTTGAATGTGTTTCTGGCGTGTGTGTGAGCAGAGCATGTGTGTGCAAATACGAACCCTGCAATGAGTAAACAAAAAAAATCAATCCTTGAATATCTATGTCTTACGTCAGTTTTTTAGATGGCGTGACAATGAAAAAACATGTTTTACATACTCTAGATTACAATGTCCATGAGCGGATGCTTGAAAACTGTTATTTTTTTAAAGATAATACCACGATTTTAACAACGACGAAAACTCTTAATTTACGAAAAGTTTAGAGCGAACTGCTAGCAACAGTTACTTCGATCTCCTGTAACACTAAATGCCTTAAGAGAATCTACTTGTTGTCTCATAACGATACGCAGTAGAGCCCTCCTAACAATATAAGATGGTTATGCAATTTTATTTTGGACTTTTGGCCAGGGTTTTCCAAAAATTGGCCACTGTGCAACGGATTAAAAGTAGTAAATAATTAGTACCTTTTCTAGTACTTTAAAATGCGTGGCCGGAATAGACCTGCCGAAAGAGTGAGGTTAAGTTACTGACAACACCTTGTTATTATTACACCATGGTATTTCACACAGAAAATTCTATATTTCACATTATTTCTCAAATTAAAATTGTAAACAAATATCTATTAGGTAAATGAAAATTAAAGAAAATGTTATACATCGTAATAACCATTGTATAAGCTGACGAGTATGGAAAGTGCCACTTTGTTTGTTTACATTCTGAGATCACCTGATTTCTTATTCTCTCATTCTCCACACAGTTACATTCAAGTTTCAGAAAAAACTGTAAAATGTAAATTGAGAAATATTTTAGAAAAATGTGTTTTTATTAATTTGAATTGATTAAATAAGAAATTAAAAATGCATGCCAAGTTTTGCATTTCGAATAATAACGATAAATGTGTATGCTCCATGCAATAATTTAAAATATTTGTGATACTTATCGTTTTGCGCTTAAATACAACAAAGTGTGTAAAATACGTTGCCATTGTTTCTGTTTTGAATACCATTTTCGTGCCTGCCGGTGGAAAAATTAGGTAAATTTGCATTTATTTTTAAGAAAACATATAAATTAAAATATATTTCTTTCCAGAGCGACATACGGACAAGTAAGATGATAAATTTGTGTGATGAATATCGCGGAAAATCTTTTGCATCAAAATGTCTATTCTAATTTGAACTATGGTATCAACAGGGATGCTTTAGAACGTATTTTTTGACGACAAATTTTTTATAAATCTTGAGATTGTTGATTTATTTAGAATTATTTTACATTAAAAAATATATTTACAACCCTATTCCGGTTTTGCAATAGAAGGACAATCGATCATCCTTCATTGTCGTGATTTTGTCATTGTCGTTGCACGTTGGCATTCCTAACAAAAAATGACAAGCGAAAAGCTTTTGTCTACTTACAATGCATGGTGAAAAGTTCATTGTTGTAGAAACGGCTGGTCAACGCTTTTAGCCCTGTTCGCGTACGCACTATCCAGTACTAATTTTCTGATTTTTTACTGGATGTCGTTTTCGAACGCAAAAACTTGCAAGAAACTAGCAAAAGAGGGGAAATTCAAAGAGCAAAAATGATAGCTGAACTTGCAAGTTTT